ATTGGAAGTACTTGGCTTGAGTAAGATAGTATCCATCGCAGAAAGAAGGAAGACACCTCAAGCCCTAGAAAATAACTCAGCTGGCCCAGATGTTTCATCTCAAATGTTGAGTCAATTGCCGGTTAAAACCCCAATTTGCTGGAATGGTCGTCTCTGGTGATGATCATGCTATCAACATAGAGTAGCAACAAGATGATGCCTCAATCAAGCTTCTGTATGAACAAAGCTGTAGCGCGAGGGCTAAAAAGGAAACCAAACTGTTCAAGAATAGCACTGAATTTAGTCAACCAAGCACATGATGCCTGTTTCAAAGTCATATGAGGCTCGTCAAAGACGACAAATCTTGCCTGGAGGACAATCATATGCCAAAGGGGGTTGCATATAATCTTCTTCTTGCATTGGAAAAAAACATTTTCTCTGTCTAGAGTACGGACATATGTCCAATGGCGAACTCCTATGTGAAACCTTTCGCTATTAAGCAAGCCTTATACTACTCAATAGATTTATCAGAGTGAGTCTCAACTTAATAAACCCATTTGCAATCTACGGTAATCTTTCCGAGCGGAAAATCAGCAAGCCCCACTTGTGAGTCTTTGCCTACACAGTTCCTCAAACATAGCTTTCAGCTGATGAGCTCACGACAAGCCTCACGGCAGGATTGACGTCTATCAGAGTGTCGTGCAGGAGGTTCAACATGGGAGGTAGTTGTGACAAGGTGATGTTTGCTGCCTCTCTCTCTCTCTCTCTCTCTCTCTCTCTCTCTCGAAACACCCCCAACACGGTCACACGAGAAGAGAGACACACGGAGCCCCCAACATAGTCACAGAGAGAGAGAGACACAAGGAGCCTCCAAGAGTCGATGGATTATTAAGCAATGAAATTTATTACCAAAATATTTATTCATGACATGATTTAAAACCAAAATATTATACACCTTCTCTACCATTAGAAAGAAGCATGGTTTTGATATCGATGATAGTATTTGATTTAATCTGCAAATGTATATAGTACATATTTCGTAGAGGATGGACAATGGAACAATGTAGGATAACTTCAAGGGATGTAGGCAAGGTTTCATGGGATAAGGATAGTTTGATTAGTTGTTAGAATTGGTGTTACAGTAGTTGGAGGAGATGTTGGTGAAGGAGCTACATGATATGGAGTTTATTTTCACGCTCCTCACACTTAATTACATGAATGAGTGCAAGCTCTATTTGTAAAGCAATTCCACCGACATATAGTTTAAAGTTCCTATTTGATCAGATTTTGTGCTCTTGTTTGCTTCGTTTCGTGCACAAAACGGTTTGATTAGTTTTTGTTGAGAATAAAGGAAAAGTCATGTAAATATATGATGCACTAGAAAAGTGGATCCTCATTAATGATACGGTTCCATTTTGGAATTCTTCACTAATAGTCAACATGGTGAAAAATGACAATACAAATGCTATAATTTTCGTATGGCGCTCACTTGAAGGCCATAAGCTTTCTTTGACTACTTGAGTGCAACAGCTTTTAAAAAACGTTCACTTGAGTACTAGAACTTTCGATTGATCACTTAAGTGTTATAACTTTTTAAAAATGGTCATCCAATGCCAAAATTTTGATGTGACATAGCACTTGTGATTAACATTTTGGAAAAATTATGGCACTTAAGTGATCGATTGTAAAGTTATATGGCACTCAAGTGAACGATGTACATAGGTTATAGCATTCATATGATTGAAAAAAAAGTCAGGCACTCAAGTGAGCGCCGTACAAAAATAATGATATTTGTTGTGTTCTTATCCACGCTAGCATTCTCTTCATGGATTGATCTAGTTAACGGGGTTTTGCTCTTTTTATGCCTTCCAAGAGAGTTGTTTCCACATGAAATATCTCTTGCCACCTTCAACCAAAAGACTAAATGATCCATCTGATTTTGATTCGAAACAAGAATTATTATTTCTTTAAGGAGTCACTTATATTAAAAAGAGAAAGAGAGTACTTGACTGAATACATTGGTTTTATGAGGGGACTCGTCTATTGGTCAAACTTACCGCGCAAATAACTTTCAAATCCCATAATAGATTATCAATTGCCTTTAAATTTCACAAGAGGGCCCGTTTAGTTATTAGTAAGTTACCAATGAATAACAATTTTACCACTTTCAAATTCTGCAGTAATTTTAATTGCTTTTAAGATTCAAAAGTAGGCCTATTTATTCGTCAGTAAGGGTGCGTTTGGCAACCATTTTGTTCTCGGAAACTGATTCTGCTCAGAAATGATTCTTTTTTATTCCGTGCTTGGGAACAATTTCTAAGCATTTGAAGGCGTTTAGTAACTGCCCAAAATTTCTTTTTATTAATAATATTTTGAATTTTTTAATATATATATTTTTTCCTTCCCCTTCCCCTTCCTTGGCCATGGCTAGGTCGCCGGCGCTGGTGACCGGCCATAGGCCAGGGCCGGCGAGGACGGCGGCGAGGGTTACCCACGCCAGATCCGACGAGGGCCGCGATGCCCTCACCGACGGCTGGCAACTGGCCACAGGTCAAGAAGAAGAAGAAGAAGAAGAAGAAGAAGAAAAAGAAAAAAAAATTATTTTCCATTTCTGATTCTTGTTCCCAGAATCAAGAAGCGACTTTTTTTTGCTTCTTGATTCTATTCTAAAACTGATTCTGGGAACAAATTTTTGCAAATTTGTGCTCGAGAACAAAAAATTTACCAAACGGATTTCTGTTCCAAAACTGATTCTGGGAACAAAAGAATAGAAATAGTTACTATTTGGCCGGTTGCCAAACGTGCCCTAAGTTGCCAACGAAATAATCATTTAGAGCCATTGAGTTTGGGAGTATATTGTAAACCATTTTGAAATTTTACAAATGGGCTTGGTTAATCGTTTATAGGTTAGTAGAGAAGAAATAAATTTACCTAGGCTTGCCAAACAGACTAGCATCATGCTTTGACCTGCCTGGAGCTTGACAATTTCTTTTAGGGTGGAGGTTAGGCTACAAAGGGATCGGGCTGGCCTGAGCACGGCATGGCACGGCATGGCTTGGCCTATCACATAAACGGGTCGAGCCATCCCCCGGCTCACCTAGCCCCTTTGGTAAGGGAGAGCATGGTTCCCAAGTAGAATTGGGAGCTGGACCGAACTTGCCATGTGAATCGATTCGGTTCCAAGTTCCGAAGGGAATAAGTTTGGTTCTCGATTCCATATTTTTTGAACCTGCACTATGTGGTACAGTTCCCAGTTCTCACTTGGGAATTGAACCTAACCAAACAAAGAACTAAGGTAACCCTCAAATAGAGCATGACATATACAACATTACATGAGGCTTGAGTGAACGAAAAGAAAATTCCCTCCTCCCGGAGCGACTGCTTGCCTTTCATCATGGTTTTTGGCTCCTCTGAAAGCATGACATTTAGGTTTTATGTTATGTGTTATGGCCTTGCTCAGGGCCTTTGCGGCCCTACTGGCTGAGGGCAAGGCCTTTGTGGCCGCCGCACATAAAAAAAAACAAAGAAAAAAAGGAAAAAAATTTAATAAATAAAAATTCAAAAAATAATGAAAAATCAATTTTTTTTAAAATAATACAAAAAATCCACGTATGATGATTTGTTGGAAGTGGCACTCAAATGATCGATTTTCCTCCGATGTGGCACTTAAGTAAACAAAAAAAAAAGTTATGGCATTGAAGTGAACTCTGTACGAAAGTTATGACACTTCTGCTGTTTTTACCCCCATAGAGGAGTAAGCAAATGCTGCTCCCAACTACTACGAGAATTGCTTTTGCTTTCCTTATCATAAACTTCCTTAGCGATGGTAACAGTATCTAGTCCCTCCAAACTTTTGCCTAATCTCTTAAATTTCATGTTTAGGGATGGTAATACTATCTAGTCCCCCCGAACTTCTGCCTATTCTCCTAAATTTCATGTTTAGGTATGGTCATACTATCTAGTTCCCCCCAAACTTCTACCTAATTTCTTAAATTTCTATGTTAAGATGTGCCCGTTCCTTTTATGTTCCTACTATCTATGATTACTTTTACATGTCAATAAAATCCTTTTATTCGCTTTTTGTGATTAATGACAAATAGGAAATATCTATTTTTTAACATAACCATTTCTAATCTACTCAAGTAAAAGACTCACAATCTCTGATAAAATTCAGCTTTAATATACTAATGTTTTAATTAGTATGCCTTTTAAAAAGATCAAATTTCATATAATAAATCTAAAATACTCTTCTTGTAAATTATTTTTAATTTAACTCATCGTTATTTTTATCGTAATAAAAAACAAAATATATCTCATTATTTCACGTTTTATGGAACAAATTGTGAATATGCATCGCGAAATCAGAGATTAACCCTAACGGTGCCAACTTGCTTGGAGCGCCAACTTGCTTGCTGGCCCAATCAATGGCTTGGTTATGAATTGTCCTGGCCTAAAAATAGAGAAGCCCTAATCTATTTTAGGGATTTCTTCACACACCCAAGCAGGCAACGGAAACTTCCAAAAAAGAGAAATCAAAGAGTGTTAGTGATTTCATTGATCTCTAAAGTTTGCTTGATTGCGCATTTTGATTTTTGAGATGTCGTCCCCGTATTGATTTTTGAAGTTTGACAAGTGAGCAATTTAAGTGGTAGGTAACTTGAAATAATGGTTTTACTCCTTTCAAGTTCAAGTAGAATATTAGCTGCTTCTTCACCTGTGAAGAATCAATTGCTTTTAAATTGACCAAAACCAGTTAGGAAAGAAGAAATAATCTTTACTAGGGCTTGCCGAACAGGCTACACCGAGCATGACCCCGAGGGTCGTGCCCAAGCACGGATTGCATCATCGCTATTACCACCGTTTTCTATTGCGAGAAGCAAGCTGTAATCACTCATTGAGAATGAATATTTTGTTGAAAAATATTGGTCTAGGGTCGTGTCCAGAATTCTGCTCCCCAAGAGTCCTCCCACCTCAGATTACTTATGGGGGTGTATAAATACCACCAAACTCTCGAAATTACAACACACATTCTACGTTCCAACTCCTCCCACCTCTCACATCTTCCTAGACCTAACGCGAAAGAGGTACGTCCAGACTCCATAAAAATGTCTTGCCACCATTGTTAAGTAAATAATCTGTTAGAGAGGATATATATTACTGTGTTGTGCTTTCTTTTTTCCCCTCCAAATAGAAAAATAATACGCGTACGTAAAATAACCTAACTGTGATCGAAGGAAGGGAGAGATGTGGAGGCTAAAGATTGCACAAGGAGGGAATAGTCCGTATCTATACAGCACCAACGAATACGTTGGGAGGCAGATATGGGAGTTCGATCCGGACGCGGGAACTCCCGAGGAGCGTGCCGAGGTGGAGCAAGCTCGCCTTCATTTCCACAACAGCCGCTTCAAGGTCAAGCCTAGTGGAGACCTACTATGGCGAATGCAGGTAAAAGATCGATGACACCCACCCAATCACCCAAGTGTTACTTCAATCTCGATTAATACCCACATAGCAAAAATTCTCAGGAATCGACCCATAGTTTCTTGCACGCTGTCCGTTCTTTTTAATAGGGTCAAAACGGATCGAGAAGCGGGTCCGGACCTCCTTCCGATTTGGCCTAGGACACGGACTGTGCTACTAGATTCATTTCTGGAAACTCATAATGATTAGTTTCATAGGGAGGAGTCCCTTTAAACGGATTGAGAATGCTTTTTTGTTTATTTAATAAAAAAACTAAGATATATTGTATCGTTTTATTCACAAACTAATAAAAATGATTCGAATGAAGGACTAGACTTTATTCATTAGTGACGCATCATGCCACCCGTTGTGCAGAGAAAAAGAATCTATCGCCAGACCTGCTAAAAGTTTTTCATTGTGCAATTGCAGTTTCTAAGAGAGAAGAACTTCAAACAAACCATTCCTCGCGTAAAGATAGTGGACGAAGAAGAGATAACACATGAGAAGGCATCGGCCACTTTGAGGAGAAGCGTCTATTTCTTTTCAGCCTTGCAAGCCAGTGATGGCCATTGGCCTGCAGAAAATTCTGGCGTTCTCTTCTTTCACCCTCCTTTGGTTAGCTTTCTTTAGTCTTCTCGGTTATTGTTTGCATTGGTTAGTGTAATTCTTTGTTCGAACATGTGGTTTTATCGTTACCCCCATGTGAAATATAATTATTATTTCTTGAGATGTTATTATCAACTTTGTCGATCGAATTGAGTCAAACCGATATATTCTACTTACTCGATGCAGAGAGCCTAAGTGTTGCAAGAAAGATATTTTGACTACTTCTTACATGATAGGACACTGAATGCAAGCCAAAATAGTATTAGTCAGACAATAACCATACTTTGGTCATGATCATTTTGTTATTCTTTTTTAGAGTAAGGACTGATCATCACCTGATAGTCGTTCTAATCGTATGCAATTCGTGCCCTTGACTTGTTCAGTAAAAACAAAATGCAGGTGATATGTTTGTTTATTACTGGGCACCTCAACATTGTCTTCTCTACAGAACATCGAAAAGAGATCCTTCGATATGTGTATAATCATCAGGTACTTGATTTTTGTCTCTTTTTGCGTAATCCTAACGTAGATTTTGAGAATGGAAAAAGGAAAAAAATTGTACTTCATCTTCACATTGTTGGTTATTAAATGTTGTATTGCAGAATGAAGATGGCGGGTGGGGCTTACATGTAGAGAGCCACAGCACCATGCTCACTACAGTACTTAACTATATATGCATGCGTATACTTGGAGAAGGTCCTGATGGTGGCGAGAACAATGCTTGTGCCAGAGGGAGAAAGTGGATTCTTGATCGTGGCGGCGCCATAAACATATCCTTCTTGGGAAAGATTTGGCTTTCAGTAAGAAATTTTTTGCTTCTAGTGGAAATGAATTATCCTTTAATTACTTACCAAAAAAAAAATTAATCCTTTAATTGATAAATCGCCTTACTAGATGATATTATTATATTACAAGCAGGCACCAAACTGAACCATTGAAAAAAACTCGGAGCCTATATGCTCCCTACAAATTTAAAACAAGTTTAAACAATGTGTTTTCCCACATGCCAAGTGCGACTAACACATTACGTTTTCCTTTATGGTAGGTACTTGGTATTTATGACTGGTCTGGGACCAAACCTGTGCCTCCTGAATTACTGATACTTCCCTCATTTCTTCCCATGTATCCAGGTTTGCCAAGACATTTCCCTGTACCATACCAGATCGATTGCTTGAGCTTCCACGCTTATTAATGTATATTCAAATTCGTGAACATATAGAAGAGAAGTTATGGTTTCAATTTTTTCTGGCAAGATGTGCCCTTGTCTCATTGAAGATCTATGCTTTATGAATTCGCTAGGAAGTTTAGATTTTTTTCATCGGAATTTTGTTCATTATATATGGTTGTGTAGATTAGATTTTTTTCTGTGTCTTAGAGTGCTGGTGATTTCCTCTCCAATATGCAGCTAAGTTGTGGTGCTATTTTCGGACCCTTTACATGGCCACATCATATTTGTATGGAAGAAGATTTGTAGCACCAATTACACCTCTCATTCGACAATTGAGAGAGGAACTTCTAACTCAACCCTATGGCAACATCTCTTGGAAGAAAGCTCGACATCTATGTGCCGAGGCAAGAGCTAGCTTGCACCAAACTATTAATTCACGTGTTAGTAAGATTCTAATATATTTTCTTAATTTATGTTCATATAGGAGGATCTCTACTATTCACATCCTTCAGTGATAGATTTGCTGTGGGATGGTTTTTACATACTAACAGAACCTTTTCTAAACCGTTGGCCTCTAAACAAGTTGAGAGAAAAGGCTCTTAAAACGGCAATGAAGCATAATCATTACGAAGATGAGAACAGCCGATACATCACTTTGGGATGTGGGGAAAAGGTAATAAGAACATAGATTTTACATGACCATATCTTTACAAAACTTAATGGCTCTAATTAACAGGTATTAAGTATGCTTGCCTGTTGGGTGGAGGATCCAAATGGTGAATACTTCAAGAAGCATCTCGCTAGGGTTCAAGATTATATATGGGTTGCTGAAGATGGAATGAAGATGCAGGTTGGTTAAATGATTCATTACAATTAAGGGATTTAATGGCATTTTTGGTAGTCAGAACCAGCATCTACCAAATCTATAATGTCTAAAACCCACTGATTATTGGCAAAAAGAAAAAAAGGACTTGAGTTTGATGGTCGCACTCCATATGCAGAGTTTTGGTAGTCAACTATGGGATACAAGCTTGGGAATCCAAGCTTTGCTTGCTAGTAATCTAGCCAACGAAATAGGACTAGTACTCATGAAAGGCCACGACTTCATTAAGAGATCACAGGTTAAATCTTTATCTCAGCTTGCGGGAATCTCCTAGCATTTCCTTTCGTTGCACCAATATATGTGTTTATTGGTTGGCATTGAAGGTCAAGGATGATCCTTCTGGTGACTTCCACAGCATGTATCGTCATATTTCTAAAGGATCGTGGACTTTTTCCGAGCAAGATCATGGTTGGCAATTGTCTGATTGCACCGCAGAAGGTTTGATGGTAAGATTCTTTTGAAGATTGTGAATAGTCTGCAGATCTAACATTGTTCTAGTGCTTAATTTGATCTCCTTTCTGCTTATGCAGTGTTGCTTGCTTTTTTCACAAATGCCACAAGAAATCGTAGGTGAGAAGGTGGAGCCAGAGAGACTATATGACGCGGTCAACATTATACTTTCTCTACAGGTAAGTGCTAAAGCTAGGAATCAACTATGCTCGTGTTCCAAAAACCTTAAGATACATAGGCAATACGCACAATATCTTACTTCAAGTCTTAATATGTTTCCACTATTATATCATTACTAATGGATGCATCACTGTTTTGTAGAGTAAAAATGGTGGATTGTCAGCATGGGAGCCTGCAATTTCTGCAAAATGGTTGGAAGTACGTACTTCGACAAATAAGAAGCAGCTTATGATATAAATAAATTGTGGCTCTTATTTCTATTTACACTACTGGAAATTTGAATATTACTTGTGGATGGTGTAGCTCCTCAATCCATTTGAATTTCTCGAGGACATTATCATTGAGCACGAATACGTGGAATGCACTTCATCAGCTATCAAGTCTTTAGTTTTGTTCAAGGAATTGTACCCGGGGCACCGGACAGAAGAGATCCAAGATTGCATAACTAACGCAGTCCGATACCTCGAAAGCGTACAAATGACAGATGGATCATGGTATATGTGTCCATATTCCCTTGTGGTTGATCATCAGTGTAGATAATTCAAAAGCAAGCAGACAAGATGACTCGAGAACTGCATGTGCAGGTATGGAGAGTGGGGAGTTTGTTTTATATATTCCACATGGTTTGCACTCATGGCACTCGAAGCCGCCGGCAAAAGCTACGAGGATTGTGCCGCTATTCGCAGAGGCGTAGCTTTCCTCCTTCAAATACAATCACCGGATGGTGGCTGGGGGGAGAGCTACCTTTCTTGCCCAAGAAAGGTGATTACTTTTGTAGCACCTGGAAATTGTTTGATCGACTTTAATAACTCCACCGGGAAAACAAGAACCGAAGATGTTTAATAGATCCAAAAGCTCGAAAATACTTGAAGGCTCTTTTATATGGCTCGATTCATCTAAAGGAAAAAAAATATGAATAAGACTTATTTGGAATTGCCCGATGAAATGTAAACTAAACGAATATGGTAAATTGGTAAATCCACAGGTATTAGACCTAATAGACTAACATTGCTCTGACAGTAAATTTCTTGTAATAGCAAGAACTTGTGATTTTATTCCTAACACGAATCTGTAAAAGAAATATCAAGCATGATTATATGGTAATATTTTTTACCACTCGTTCTTTGATCGAGGCAGATATACACACCACTTGAAGGAAATAGATCAAACTTGGTTCAAACTGCATGGGCTATGATGGGTCTCGTTCATGCTGGCCAGGTCTCACTACAAAAAAACTGATTTTTTCCGACGAAATTTCCAACAAAAAATTCTGGAAAATTCGTTGGAAAACGAATTTCCAACGAATTTTCCAACGAAAAAAAATTCGTTGGTAATAGGTCGTTGGAAAATTTTCCGACGAAAAATTTTAATTTTCGTTGGAAATTTGCGACGAAAATATTTTCGTTGGAAATTTCGTTGGAAAATTCGTGACTAAATTCGTTGGAAACGAATTTTTTTTTCCGACGAATTTTTTTCGTTGGAAATTACAAATTTTTTTTTGATCGAAAAATCGTGGAAAGTTTTTTTCCATCAAATTTTTTTTTTTGGTCAAAAAATTTCAATTTCAAAAATTTTTTTTTTGGCCGAAAAATGGCCCTCGCTGCCGGCGAGGGCCAGCCTCGTCGCCGGCGAGGGCCGAGCTCGCCTAGATCCGGGCGAGCTCGAGCTCGCCGCCGGCGAGGGCCGAGCTCCCCGTGATCCGGGCGAGCTCGAGCTCGCCGCCGGCGAGGGCCGAGCTCACCCGGATCTCGGGCGAGCTCGAGCTCGCCGGCCATGGCGAGCTCGGCCCTCGCCATGGCCGGCGAGGCCGCGGACCGGCGACGGCGGCGGTTCCAAGCAGCTCACGCGGCCGAGAAAGGAAGAGAGAGATCGAGTCGGTTGGACGGTGGCGGTGAGGCGGGATGGGTGGCGGCCTCGCCGGCCATGGCGCGGCCGAGCTCGCCATGGCCGGCGAGCTCGAGCTCGCCCGGATCCGGGTGAGCTCGGCCTCGGCGCGGCGAGCTCGAGCTCGCCCGGATCCGGGCGAGCTCGGCCCTCGCCGGCGACGAGGCGTCGGGGCGTCGGGGCGGCCCATGGTGGCGTCGGGAGCGCCGACCGCCGCGGGGCCTGGGCCCCGGGATGGCCGCAGCGACGCCTTCGGGACGGAGCCGACGCTGCGGATGACCTGGATGCCGATCTTGGTGTCCATGGCACCGGAGCCGAGTCGGAGGAGGAGGGGGGGTGGCGGGGGAGGCAGCGGGGAGAAGGTGGAAGGCGAAGGAGAGACCGAGAGAGAGAGAGAGGAGGAAACAGGGAGCGAGTCAAGCGTCGAATGGACCTCAGCCGAGTTGAGGGAGAGAGGGACTCGGAGAAGGGAGGCTTGGGGGGGAAGGAGATGAAGGAGACGGCCATGGCGGAGCAGAGGAGCGAGCGAGAGAGACACTAAAATAATTGCCCAGAAAATTAAAATTCGTTGGAAAATTCGTTGAAAATTTCCAACGAAAAAAAATTCGTTGGAAATTTCCAACGAAAAAAAATTCGTTGGAAATTTCCAACGAATTTTCCAACGAAAATTGTATAAACTGAAATAATTGCTCGGAAAATTGAAATTCGTTGGAAAATTCGTTGGAAATTTCCAACGAATTTCCAACGAATTTTAAAAATGCCGAACGGTACCGGTTTTTTGTAATTCGTTGGAAAATTCGTTGGAAATTTCCAACAAATTTTTTTCGTTGGAAATTTCCAACGAATTTTCCAACGAAAATTGTATACAATGAAATAATTGCCCAAAAATTGAAATTGTTGGAAAATTCGTTGGAAATTTCCAACGAATTTTCCAACAATTTTAAAAATGCCGAACGGTATCGGTTTTTTGTAATTGTCGGAAAATTCGTTGGAAATTTCCAACGAATTTTTTTCGTTGAAATTTCCAACGAATTTTCCAACGAAAATTGTATACAATGAAATAATTGCCCGAAAATTGAAATTCGTTGGAAAATTCGTTGGAAATTTCCAACGAATTTTCCAACGAAAATTGCACAAACTGAAATAATTGCCCGGAAAATTGAAATTCGTTGGAAAATTCGTTGGAATTTTCCAACAAATTTTCCAACGAATATAAAAAATGCCGAACAGTACCGGGTTTTTTGTAATTCGTTGGAAAATTCGTTGGAAATTTCCAACGGAAAAAAATTCGTTGGAAATTTACAACGAATTTTCCAACGAATTTTGTTTCGTTGGAAATTTCCAACTAATTTTCCAATGAAAATTTTTTCGTTGGAAATTTCCAACGAATTTTGCGACGAAATATAGTTCGTTGGAAATTTCCAACGAATTTTACTTTTCGTTGGAAAATTTGTCGCAAATTTGCAACGAAAATTTTTTCGTCGCAAATTTTCGTGGCAAAAATCCAGTTTTTTTGTAGTGTCTGTGTATTCTCTTACAATTTATATATTAATAATTTGTACAACTTTCTTGATCTAAAAAATTCTTCTTATCAGGCAAAAAGGGATCCAATTCCCCTACATCGAGCAGCAAAGCTGATAATTAATTCCCAGATGGAAAATGGCGATTTTCCTCAACAGGTGATATCTCCTCATGATTGTATCTCAATACAAAAGTAACTCGAAGTTTTCAACTGACATTTTAAAAATAGTTAGTGATTGTTTTCAACTGACATTTTCAACTTTCTTGATCTGAAATAGAGTGATTGCTTTTATACATAATTAGTACCACAAACATTTTTTAAAATAGTGAAGATTAGTTTAATGAAACATGTAGAAGATAGGGACAATCTATTGGAGTTTTGAAAGTGAATTAATTTAGTCACACCACAAACTGTCAGTTGGGTTAACTTCGTTACTTCTATATTTTTTTTGGCTGGATACTTCTATATTTATTTACACATTGCTGACGGTAAATAACTTTGCACTACAGGAAATTACCGGATGTTTCAAGAAGAATTGCATGTTGCACTATCCAAATTATAGGAATATTTTTCTCATATGGGCACTTGCCGAATATTGCAACTTGGTGCTTTTGAATCCTTGAAGAACTAAATAAATCTTGTCTTAAACTGTGTCCATCTCATTACAATTGAAGGACACATAAATGTTGATTTCTTGTGCAACCTTGCTTTAAGAATAGACGTGTAACCATGGATACCATATTTCACTTTGTAGTAAGTAAGTGACACTCCAAATCTCACATTAATGGCTGGGAGATGTGGCCCACAAGAGTTCCCACCTTGAATACTCATTTTGACACTTTAGCCGCAATGAGTGTTTCGGGCTCTTGTGCATGTATTGAGAGAGAGAGAGAGAGAGAGAGAGGAATTAAATTGTCTGATGCAATGGACATTAGCTTAAGGGCTTCACGCTGTAGAATGCAAAAGCGTGGCTGTCATACCAATTGTTGAGAACAGATTGGTGGTGCTAATACCACTTGCTGAGAAAGATTGCAGACTCAACTGAAGAAAACACGTTTTTTTTTTTTATTAGAGGCACTCTACAATATTGATATGGAGAACCTCTTGCACACTAAAACATGGATGCCCGGCACACTCTATAATGGGAGCACTTCTCGACTATTTATAACCTTCAGAAAGAGAATGCTTCACTCCCCCTAGATCACTCTAGAATTTGATGGCTCACCATCCTTAGTTCATTCTAGTTATTTATGTTTCACTCCCATTAGTTCATTCTAGATATTAGTGGTTCATCCCCCTAAAAGCATCTAGAATTTATTAAAGAAGAGAGGAGGTGAATCACTTTCTTCAGTACTCTTCCTCACCGACTACTCTTCTCTCAATGTGGATCTATGCCAAGTTGCCTTTCGGAACTCCTCGGCTACCTTATAAGCTTCATCCTTTAACGTCTAGTATTTCTTCTTGGGTTTGCCCACGTCTAGTGCTAGCTACTAAACTACAAGATAAAGGCCAGTTCGACCTGCGCTTTAGTCTCTTTTTCCTCCATCTGATGACTCAATTCAGCCTTCTTATACTGTAAATCTTCTGCAATTCATGTGGGAAAGCCTTTCCTTCGTAGTTAGTTATGCGGGCAAAGTCCCACATAGGGCAACTTTAGGAGATATTCTGGTGCATATAATCCGTTGGGTTCCCTCTCCTGGCCAGCTAGCTTTTTGGAGATGAGTTCTTCCACCCGTTGTAATCCATCAACATGGTATTAGAGCCAAATTGTTGTGCGCCCGCCTTCTAGCCCTTTATCCGTAGGATTAGCACTTTCCCGTGAATGGGGAGGTTTCCTTTAAAGTTAAATGATAATATCAAATCCATATCATGCAATGACTCTTTTTGTCGGCAAAATAGATCTCAATGAGTCTAGCCCTATTATATCAAAATCCGATGAAAATGTAGATGCAAAGATAGAATGCGTCAGATTTTGGAAAAGATTAAGGTTGCGCGTGACAACGATTCTGTGCTTAAAAATTGATTCTTTTTGATTTCGTGCTCGAGAATAATTTCTAAGAATTTAAAGGCATTTGATAACTATAAAAAATTTCTATTCTTGGAATAAAAAAAAGAATATAAATGCGTTTGATAACTATACAAAATTTCTTTTTATTAATAATATTTTGAATTTTTTAATATTTTTTCTTTCTTTCTTTCCCTTCCCTTCCTTGGCCAACGCCGGTGGCCGGCCACAGGCTAGGGCCAGCGAGGGCATCGTGACCCTCGCCGCCGCCCTCGCCGCCAGCCTCGCTGGATCTCGCCCAGCCAAGGCGAGGCCGATCTCGCCATCGTGGCCCATCTCCCTTGCTTGGGTCGTGACGGCGAGATCGGCCTCGCATGGCTGGGTGAGGCCTCGCCATCGCGGCCGCAAGCCGCCCTCGCCCAAGCGGCGAGGGGGACCCTTGTCGGCCACCAGCGAGGGCAGCAACGCCCTCGCCGGCCTTGGCCTGTGGCCGGCTGGTGGCAGGCCAGGAAGAAGAAGAAGAACAAACCAAAAAGGAAGAATAACAAATCAAGAAGGAAGAAGAAAACCAAGAAGAATCAGAAATGGAAAAATTGTTCCCAAAATCAAGAAGTTACTTTTTTTTTGCTTCTTGATTCTGTTTCAAAACTGATTCTGAGAACAATTTTTTGCAAATTGTGCCCAGGAACAAAAAATTTAACAAACAGATTTCTGTTCCCAAACTGATTCTGGAAATAAATGAACATAAATTTTCATTATTTGGCAACTTGCCAAACAGGCCCTAAATCAATTGAACACCAGGATGGGCCTCAAGTCCTTGAAAAGATTCACTTAGATGGCCTTAGGGTTTCCAAGGTCAGGCAACTTGAACACCTGGATGGCCCTCATGTCTTCGAAATAGTACTGATAAACAAGTACCCGAATGGCACTCAAGGCTGGGAAAACCTTAACAAACATCTGCATGGCCCTTAGATATTTGAAATGTCTCCGGATGGCCCTCAGGGCTTGGAAAATATTAACAAATATCTAGATGGCCCTCAGATATTCGGAACGTCTTGAAAGGAGAACACCCGGATGGCCCTCTAGGTTCATTAAGATCTTTGACAACGGGCTCCCGGGTGACCCTCAGGGCTATGCAAATTCTTGGGAAAAGAAGCACTAGGATGGCCCTTGAGGCTTTGAAAAGTTAGGTACCCTGATGACCCCCGGGTGCCCGAAATATCTTGGATTGGGGGTCCTCATTTGAGGATAAAGCACCTACCTGGATGGCCCTCAGGTCTCTAAAAGTGAAGCACTCGGAGCTTCGAAATAGGTAGAAGTCGTTTGAAAAGATTCCGGTTTACCGAAGTGTTTATCGGTCAGAAGGAGGGGGCTTTGATCTTCAAAGGGGCGCTTCCTATCAAGCATAGATAGAGCAAACCTACGTATGTTCAAGGGATAAACAATCATAGTCTATCCTAGAACAAGCACACATCTCTAGAAAAAAACTCATTTTCATTCATTAAACTCATCAGTTGGGGGTTTATGCATGATAATTCTACAATGTCGGCATCACCAAATTTCCACAGAAAAGATTCATCATCAAGAAGATCTTCATTCACGATGTGGATCTACTCAAAATGTTAAATGAGGATCTACTCAAAATGCTAAATGAGAGACTTTCAGTCTCAAAGGACTTTTCACTCACTCTCATTTAGAAGGTTGTTTTGTCTCATCCATTAATGTGGAAAAGAAAAGTAATCACTTGATCTCACCATTATCGTCAAGTCGACAAAGGTCTGAATTTTCTCGTAAGTGACGACCTCTCCAAATTGAGGGTTTTTTTTATTAGGACCGTAATTGGTCAGCAGTTTAGCAAAAGGGATAATTCAATTTGTATGGTTTAGAAAGAAACATTCTTTATTCTTTATCTCCGTCGGGGTTATAAGTTAAGAACCCTGCAAATGGGATAAAAACAATCTTGCCCACACTTCTTCGGTTAAAGCTTTCAACCTTTGAAATTTTTACGTTAATTTAAGTGCTCTAATATGAAGAGATTTCATAAGGGACATACTATAGGGTCGGTTAATGGGTCGAGAAACAAAAGGATTCATTAGGCTCAAGGAAGATTTTCAATGAAGGAGGTTTTGAAGCTGGCGATCGTATCAGCATCAATACCAATCTTCTTCTTTCACTGGGGATTGTACTCTTGTGTAGATGCTTCATCGGCTACGAGAGTCCAACACTAATCCTTCTAAAACTTGTGAAATCACCGCTCCTTACTGGGGATGATTTTCCGCATGCTTGATACAAACACTTTGACTTTCTATTCCCATCAATAGTTAGGCCTCATATCAACATTTTTTTTTCACTCTTCTTTTTTTCTCTCTCTCTTTTCATTTTTTTCCTCTCTTTTTTTCTTTTTTCTTTTTCTTTGATTTGTTTTTTCGTTTTTTTTTTAATTTTCTTGCAGCACGTTCTTTTGCGGAAAACTCTCAAACTCATCAAACCTTCATGTCTCTTGAACAGTTCAACATTTTGGACTCTCGGGTTCTCCATCTTCAACAAATGCTCTGGATCATGTTGTTTTATCGTGGTGACTCATGTGCCTTGCCTTTGTGTGTGGGATGATCACCAACTGGCTTTATAATTGAATTTGCATGCCCAAACGAGTTATGCAATGGATAGAAGTGTGTAAAATAGAGAAAGAAATGCTTTTCATTATCTCGGGAAACTTAAATTCTCTTTTGAGTCCAACTGTAATAAAGACAATCGAAGATTGATTCAAGTGAGAGTAAGAAAATTTTATCCATTTCCCACTATGTAAAGTCACCCTACCTCCATTCTGCCCCGTGTGGAGTATGTCTTGATAGGGTTAAGTTGAAAGAAATTCTTCTAATATTTAGGCTCAAAGGGGTTAAACAATGGTTTACCTGCATTATTTAGGATAGAGAAACGAAATGGCCCCTAGTCATCATGTGCCCCCTTGTCATTGGCAAATTTAATTTTTTTTTATTGCCGAATATAGTCTTGGTCATATTCATCATATGGCTCATACTTTTCCACGAAAGGCACGTAATCTGTAGAGTCTTCATGTGGTCCTCTATCTCTGTCCTTAAGTAATTGCTCATACTTAGACACTCTCGTTGTCAATTGGAATTAATTGTCAACATTTTGGCCTTCGAATTTTTCTCTAAGATTGAATTTTAATCCATTGAAAGCCAAATTTGTGAATTCTTTCTCCAGGAGTGAAGTAAGGTATCTATTCCTAGCCCTCTTGAATTGAGCAACAAACTGATCGATTGATTCATTATCGTATTGATAAATTATAGCCAAATTAGCAATCGATATAGCATGTATTAGTCTATAAAATTGAGAATCGAATTGTCTTTCCATCTCAGCCCAAGTATGGATTGAATTAGGAGATAAATTCGTATACCAAGTAAAGGTAGTTTTTGATAAAGACAAAAGGAACAATCTAAGTCTAAGAAATTCATTTGTTCTTGCCTCTCCACATTGGGCAATAATTGACCAATGTGTTCAATAGTCGATTGGTCATCTTCGCTAGTGAAAACAACGAAGTTAGGAATTTCGAATTTTCTTGCATAAGGTATAGTGTCAACCCAAGATGTGGCTTCCTATATACTAGCTTGACCATTCCTTTATCGACACCTAAATGTTGTAATAGAAGTTCAGCCACTTGATCAGGATTCGCAAGTTGACACATTTTCTGCCTCCTAGGTTCAGGGTAGATAGGTCGATAGACTTTAGATTCCCGCCAGGGTAGATTGGATTTTCAGGCCTTTGTAAAATCCTCACGTACCTGAAGCCTTTTGTTTTTTCTTCTCCACACGAGCGTAGCGGCGTGACCCCGACTTCGCCACACCTTCCTCCGCTTGGGTCTCCTCCGACAGCCCACTTTCGACCAAATTGAGTTATGGGTTTTGGAGACCATGCTGGCACGACCACATAGGTCTAAGAATCGGCGAAAACGGCAAAGAAATTGGCTGGAATCGAACAAAATTCCGTCGGTTGCATGAACCCTAACCGGCAACTTCCGCCGCGCAATTAGCCTCTGGCGATCACCCAAATGCCAAATTGTCTTAGGACTTTTGTTGCCCATGGCGGTGCGACTGTACTGGTTCGAAGCTGGGAGGCGGGTCACCGAAATTTGGCCAAAATTGGCAATTTCCCTCTTGGCCCCAAATTGGCTGATTTTCAATTCAATCAAAATCTCACAAAATTCATCAAGAGAGAGATTTAACCATGCTCTGATACCAAATGTTAGAAAAACTAAAGGAGTGAATATCCATTTTGCATGGATGAACAAAACTCATGCATAATAATGATCAAATATGGAAACGTGTAGATTCTTTACTAACCTCCGACCATTCATGAAGTTCGATTGATAACCTGAATCGTCGAGCGTTGAACGGTCAATGAATGGAAATCTCTAGCCAATTGCCCTCTTAACGTCGATGGTGTGTTTTCTGATAACGAAAGGATTTGGCTTAGAAGACCATTTTATGTCCATTCACACCCCTTCACATAACGTCTTCCATCAAGACGTTATCGTGACTTTTGGACGGTCACCACATATCTCGAACGTGGACAATGAACGTTAATGAAATTAACTGAATGTGAGAATAATAAACTAAACATGAGATCACATTATTGATATTATAACACCATGATCTAGAGATTTGGGGTGATGATGCCAATGAGTTCAATCCAGAGAGATTCTCCAGGAAGTCTCAAAACTTTGCTTTGCTTGAAACCAAAGTTGCTTTGACCTTGATTTTGCATAATTTCTCATTGCAGCTATGTCCTCCTTATAAGCATGGCCCTATTCCTTTGATCACTCTTAATCCCCAATATGGAGTCCCCTTGATTTTGACTAGAATCGGATCGAATACTCAGTTCGTATTTGATCAGATTCCATGCTCTTGTTTTCTTTGTTGCGTACATTAAACGAAATGTTTTGTTTGTTGAGAATAAAGGAGAAGTCATGCAAACATACGATGCCTTCTTGACTAAAAGTTCTCACTTAATAATACTGTTTCATTTTGGAATTCTTCACTACTCGAGAGCATGCTCTTCTTGGATGGAACTATTTACTAGGTTTTACGTACTCTTTTGGTGTCTTCTAAAAGAGTTGTTCCCACATGAAATATCGCTTGCCACCTTTGGCCAAAAAATGAAGGGTTAATATCATGAAAAACCCTAAACTGATACATCTGTAATAAATTTATTCCAAACTAATTTTTTGACCATCAAAAACCTCAAACTGGTAGACCTGTGATAATTTTACCCAAAACTATTTTTTGACCACAAAAAACCCTACATTGGTACACCTGTGACAATTTTACTCCAAACTAATTTTTTGACCACAAAAAACCTCAAACTGGTAGACCTGTGATAATTTTACCCAAAACTATTTTTTGACCACAAAAAACCCTACATTGGTACACTTGTGACAATTTTACTCCAAACTAATTTTTTGATCACAAAAAACCTCAAACTGGTACACCTGTGATAAATTTACCCTCCGTTAGTTTTCGTTAAATTTTACTATCAAATTGGTAAGTTCAATGACATGTGATAGTTGACAGGTGTACCAGTTTGGGGTTTTACCCCTCTGTTTATCACAAGTTTATCAATTTGTGATTTTTCATGATATTAATTCAATTTAATGGACACTAACGGAGAATAAATTTGTCACAAATGTACCAGTTTGGGGTTTTTAGTGGTCAAAAAATTAGTTTGTGATAAAATTATCACAGGTGTACCGGTTTAGGGTTTTTGATGGCCAACAAATTAATTTGGGGTAAAATTATCATAAGTGTACCAGTTTGGGGTTTTTGGTAGTCAAAAAAATAGTTCAGGATAAATTTATCACAGGTGTACCGGTTTGAGATTTTTTGTGATCAAAAAAATAATTTGGGGTAAATTTATCACATGTGTATTAGTTTAGAGTTTTTCATGGTATTAACCCAAAAATGAACTATACATCTAATCCTGATTTGAAACCCATACTCCTGAAGTCAGTTATGTTAAAAAGCAAGAGAACACTGCACGCGAGTACTTGTACTTGACTGAGTACAAAAGCAACAAAACCACAAGGAAGAGCACATCCCAAAAACCGCATCTTAGTTGGGAGAAAGTACCAAAAAAAAAAATTCTCAAACCTATTATACTAGAACAAATTTAGTTTTACGTGGCACGACCGTCCGTCCTACATGACCGTCCTATGTGGTATGACCGATGCTGACGTAGATAATTTTTAATATTTTTTTTTAAATTGAAAATTTAATTTTTTATTTTATTTTTTGGCCAAAATGAAAGTAAAAAAATAAAGAAAAAAATGTAAAAAATAATAAAGAAAAGAAAAGAAAAGAAAAGAAAAGGAAAGAACAAATAAATTATAAAAATTCAAAAATTTATTAAAATATCATTAAAAAATGTCCAAGTTAGTATCGGTCGCCCCACATAGGACAGCCGGCATCCATATCAGCGTTTTTCAGCCAAAATTTGATGGATGGACTCAATTGGCATAGATGTAAAAGGGTTTATGACTAAATTGATCTAATTAAAAATTTTAAGACTGAGTTGGTACCAATGCAATAGGTTAATAACTTTTTTGGTACTTTCCCCTCTTAATTTTGAATATCGAAATAGAACATTTTTTATATGGGAAATTATCAGGATCACAACCAACCTAACACATCTGTTGAGAAAAAAAAAAGATGGTGGTAGTTTAAAGACGAAAAATTTATATAAATGAAAATAAAAATAAAGCTATCTAAAGTTCAAAAGTTATCTATTATTTAATAATTTCAATGAAGACCTATCTCTATGGAATCTCACTTTGAGCACTAAACTCGCCGAGTTGAAGAGATAATAACCTTATTATACCAAGAAACACTAATTCACTAAGTTAATTAAACAATCGACAGACTAAACTTCCAACCATAATTGTCTATTTCTTTCCGAATTCGAATAAGATTAATATAAAGAAAATTTCTCAAAACATCACTCTTTTTTCTCGGAGATTCCACCGACCCGAAACTGTTTTACTGATCCAATGAGATGAAATACAAAAAAGCAGTTAAAGAAGAAATTTATGTTAATGCAGTGGTATTGTCAAAGATCACTATTTTTCCATTAACATGCACGATGCTAAATGATTAGTTACTCGATTGGATTATTTATTGTTTAGTCTATTGCAATGGTTTTTCTAACAATATAGACCCTGCGGACCCATAGAGGGGCAAGCAAGTGCTGCTCCCACTACTACAAGAATCGCTTTTGCTTTCTTTATCATAATATGACCAAAGGCAAATTATTTAAACTTCTGTAGGGATGGTCATACTATCTGGTCCCTCCAAACTTCTGCCTAATTTCTTAAATTTCATGTTTTGGGACTTTTGCCAAATCTCTTCAATTTCATGTTTAGGGATGGTAATACTACCTAGTCCCCCAAACTTCTGCCTAATCTCCTAAATTTCATGTTTAGGGATGGTCATACTATCTAGACCCCCCCCCCCCCCCCCCCACCCCAACTTCTGCCTAATTTCTTAAATTTCTATGTTAAGATGTGCCTGTTCCTTTTATGTTCCTACTATCTATGATTACTTTTACATGTCAATAAAATCCTTTTATTCGCTTTTTGTGATTAATGACAAATAGGAAATATCTATTTTTTAACATAACCATTTCTAATCTACACAAGTAAAAGACTCATAATCTCGATAAAATTCAGCTTTAATATACTAATGTTTTAATTAGTATGCCTTTTAAAAAGATCAAATTTCATATAATAAATCTAAAATACTCTTCTTGTAAATTATTTTTAATTTAACTCATTGTTATTTTTAACGTAATAAAAAACAAAATAGTTCTCATTATTTCACATTTTATGGAACAAGTTGTGAATATGCATCGCGAAATCAGAGATTAACCCTAACAGCGCCAACTTGCTTGCTGGCCAATCAATGGCTTGATTGTGAATTGTCCTGGCCTAAAATTAGATAAGCCCTAATCTATTTTAGAGATTTCTTCAGACACCCAAGCAGGCAACGGAAACTTCCAAAAAAGAGAAATCAAAGAGTGTCAGTGATTTCATTGATCTCTAAAGTTTGCTTGATTGCGCATTTTGATTTTTGAGATGTTGTCCCCGTATTGATTTTTGAGGTTTGACAAGTGAGCAATTTAAGTGGTAGGTAACTTGAAATAATGGTTTTACTACTTTCAAGTTCAAGTAGAATATTAGCTACTTCTTCACTTGTGAAGGATCAATTGCTTTTAAATTGACCAAAACCAGTTACGAAAGAAGAAATAATCTTTACTAGGGCTTGCCGAATAGGCTACGCCGAGCATGACCCCGAGGGTCGTGCCCAAGCACGGATTGCATCATCGCTATTACCACCTTTTTGTATTGCGAGAAGCAAGCTGTAATCACTCATTGAGAATGAATATTTTGTTGAAAAATATTGGTCTAGGGTCGTGTCCAGAATTCTGCTCCCCAAGAGTCCTATTTAAATCCTCTCATAGAAAGAAAACAACCGTGTCATATGTTTAACGTAGAATATGGAAATGTCCTTGACTTATTCAATTGTTCTCTCCCTTGTTCTGATCACCTTCTTCACTTGCGCATGGAAATTACTGAGTTTGTTTTGGCTGAAGCCGAAGAAGCTAGAAAAATGTCTTAGACAACAAGGTCTAAATGGAACTGCTTACGGGCTTTTGTTTCAAGATCTGAGAGACATCATCAGAATGACCAAGCAAGCTCAATCTCAACCCATTACTCCTTTCTCCGATGACATCGTGCCTCGCGTTCTCCCTTTCTATCATCACTCCATCAAGAAATACGGTACGCATCCTATCAAAGTTGAGATGCAGTGGAATTTTTCTAGCCAATGGTATAATATTGTTGACTCGACAAACTCGATTTCCTAGTACAAAACAATGTACGATTTCAACTCACTAAAGGTTGTAATTTCCAGCAAAAAACCTGCTAAAGAAAATATATTTCTGGTCTCTTTTCAGCAATTTAATCGAGATATCATCATGAAAGCAAGTTCACTAAATCCTGCTATAGGGCAGATTTTCCAACATTAAGCGTGTTGCTTTTAGGGGCAAAGTCACATGACAAATTAATGGCAGCTATGTAGTCAGCGACGGTTCATGCAAATCGATCTGCTAGATGGGTTTTGAGTCGGGTGCTTTCGATGCATCTAGTTTAAGCACCTGACACACAAATGGGTGAAATATGGAATTCGGTAGCCATTTGACGTCTTAATAAATGATTTCTCTAGATATTGGTTATTGCAGGGAAGCTTTGCTTTACATGGTTAGGGCCAGTGCCTGTGCTGAACATCATGGACTCAGACATGTTGAAGGAAATATTTTCACGGGTCAATGATTTTGAAAAGCCACATCCCAAGGCCATTGCAGATATCTTGACATCGGGGCTCCTGAATATTGAGGGGGAGAAATGGGCCAAACATAGAAAGATCATCAACCCGGCTTTTCATTATGAAAGGTTGAAGGTATTACTGCTTGGGGCTAATAATTTCCTGAACAGATGCAACTTCTAATGGAACTTAAAATGATTTATAATCCCATGACATTTCATGGTAACAGAACCTGAAATTCGTGGTCCATGGACATATAACATATAGAAACTACATACATTCAATGCATTTACCATTTTGATTTGTTGAAAAATTACAGCATGTAGTGACAGCATCATGTTCAAGTGGGGAGGAGATGATTAGGATATGGGAGAAGGAAAGTTTGGCTGGTGAAGTGGACGTGTGGCCTCACCTGCAGCATTTGACGGGTGATGTACTCTGTAGAGCTGCTTTTGGTAGTACCTACGACCAAGTCAGGGGCATCGTCCTCCTTCAACAAGAACAATTTGGGCTCGCAAACAAAATTCAGCAGACCGCATTTATCCCTGCGTGGAAGTAAGTTCAGATTTAGCCTATATTTATTTTGCGAAAAATGAATAATTTGAAAAATATTTTTCAAAAAAGGATCGCTTGTATCGCTTGAAATTAACTAATAAATAATATTTCATTATCGATAACAGTTTAGGGTTAATACCACGAAAAACCCTGAACTGGTACACTTGTGACAGATTTACCCCAAACTATTTTTTTGACCATAAAAAACCCCAAACTGGTACATCTGTGACAATTTTACCCCGAACTATTTTTTTGACCACTAAAAACCCCAAACTGGTACACCTGTGACAATTTTACCCCGAACTATTTTTTGACCACCAAAAACCCCAAACTGGTACACCTGTGACAATTTTACCCCGAACTAATTTTTTAATATTATTTTTTTTATTTTTCGAATTTTTTTAGTTTTTCTTTTCTTTTTCCTTTCCTTTTCTTTTTTTCTTTCCTTCATCTTCATTGGACCAACAATGGATTGTTATATTGTAATTGATACCACAATAACGTGACACGTAACATAAATGCTACATTTTGACCCAAAAAAAAAAAACATAAACGCTAAATGAAAGACTTTCTTTTATATGCATGCATTTTCACGCCAACCACTTTTTTCTACATTTAAATGTCTTGCGAAAAAAGCATTATATTGTTGTCGTGTCTTTCTTATTTTTGGGTGCAAGTGGATAGCCAAACTGATGGGGTCCAACGTAGGCTTGTTACCTAAGCTTGGAGTATAGCTAATCAACAATTTATATACATCTTGCTTGCCAATTTAATTTAACAGATTAATTTACAAAATTAGTATATTTTATATATAAGATGAGAGATATTATATGTGCATGGCGATTCATAAATCAATATGATCACTTGAAATATATAATAAATAAAACGTGAGACATTTAAATGTAGAAAAAAGTGGTTGTCATGAAAATTCATGCATATAAAAGAAAGTCTTTCATTTAGCGTTTATGTTTTTTTTTTGGGTCAAAATGTAGCATTTATGTTACGTGTCACGTTATTGTTGTATCAATTACAATATAACAATCCATTGTTGGTCCAATAAAGATGAAGGAAAAAAAAAAGAAAAGAAAAGAAAAACTAAAAAAATTCGAAAAATAAAAAAAATAATATTAAAAAATTAGTTCGGGGTAAAATTGTCACAGGTGTACCAGTTTGGGATTTTTGGTGGTCAAAAAAATAGTTCGGGGTAAAATTATCACAGGTGTACCAGTTTGGGGTTTTTGGTGGTCAAAAAAATAGTTCGGGGTAAAATTGTCACAGATGTACCAGTTTGGGGTTTTTTATGGTCAAAAAAATAGTTTGGGGTAAATCTGTCACAAGTGTACCAGTTTAGGGTTTTTCGTGGTATTAACCCAACAGTTTATGGATGAAAATATTTTTCATTTATTTATTTTTTTAAAGTTATTCAGACGATCATTTTTTGGAAAATATTTTTCAAATAATTCGTTTTTCACGAAACAAACGCACCCATATTAATAATTTATTTTGAGATCTTTTAGTTGTTGTAAAAGTATAAATACAAGAGTAACAAACCTCAGTTCGACTTACTCAATCCCTATCCATGGAATCTATGGGGATCACTACAATTTTGACCTATCAAAACAATGTATGGTAAGGCAAATCTTCTATCAAATTCTTATCTCGATTTCTGTCTTCGAACTTCTGAACTTAATACAATGGATGAAAATGATTGAGTGTATTTATCTAGCAAGACCTACAAACTGTAGAAACCATATTAACGTATAAAGCTTTCATCTTGAAGTTGACTTGGATACAAAAAAAAAATGCAGCCTCTTGCCGACCAAACTGCACAAGAGGATGAAAGAAATCGACCGTAAAGTAAAAGGATTGTTGGAAGACGTAGTGACCAAAAGAGAGAAGGCAATGAAGGAAGGAGAAGTAGATGACGATGATCTCTTGGGACTGTTGCTAAAATCAAACATGAAAGAAATTCAAGAATCAGGGCATCAAAAGGGTATGAGCATAGAGGATGTGATTCAAGAGTGCAAAGCGTTCAACATAGCGGCTCAGGCGGCCTCTATTTTGCTTACTTGGACTCTGATTTTGTTGAGCAAGTACCAAAGCTGGCAAGACAGAGCAAGAGAGGAAATTCTGCGAGTTTTCGGCAACAAAAAACCTGATTTTGATGGGTTGAGCCGACTGAAAATTGTAAGGATTCTCGTTGTATTGTAGTACGCTGTATATCTTGATTTCACAACATATATTCCTGAATTTCAAAACTCACGTCTAATAAATAGATTTCTCCAAAAAAAAAATGGACAAACAAAACATTTAAAAGTGAAAAATGCAGGAAATTGTAACTACCTGACCTGAAATCTAGTTATTGTTCTTACCTCTACTAGTGACAGAGGTGAGACCTATGGATCGTACCTTTGCATTCGAAGTAACAATATTGATCACATGAATGATATTCAGTTAGATGAATTAGGTCCACTATGCAAGGTTTAGATAGTTTTGTTGCTTTCTCAATGTCTTTTTGGACAAAAACAGGCTGACAACAAATTGGTTTATATGCAGGTAAGCATGATACTGAACGAGGTGCTTCGGCTATATCCGCCTGCATTTATGACAGCGAGAACAGTTCACAAGACAACCAAGTTGGGAGATATACAAATACCTCCAGAAGTTCTGCTTTTTTTGCCCATTATCCTGATCCACCAAGATTCAGAGATTTGGGGGGATGATGCCAAAGAGTTCAATCCGGAGAGATTTTCCGAGGGAGTCTCAAAAGCAACCAAGAACAAGCTCTGTTTTTTCCCTTTCAGTTGGGGTCCTAGAACTTGCATTGGCCAAAACTTTGCTTTCCTCGAAGTCAAAGTTGCTCTGACCTTGATTTTGCAGAACTTCTCAGTGCAGCTATCTCCTTCTTACAAGCACGCCCCTATTCCTGTGCTCACTCTTCATCCCCAACATGGAGTCCCCTTGATATTGACTAGAATCGGATCGAACCCCTCAATTCGTATTTGATAAGATATTGTGCTCTTGTTTGCTTCGTCACGGGCATATTGTTCTGTTTCTTGAGAATAAAGGAAAAGTCAAGTAGACAGCTGATGCCTTCTTGACTAGAAAAGTGGTTCCTATGATAGGGTGTCATTTTGGAATTCTTCACAACCCGCGAGCATGCTCTTCTTGGATTGACCTAGTTAACTGGAATTTATGTACTCTTTTGGCGCATTCGAAACGAGTAGTTGCCACATGAAATATCCCTTGCCACCTTTAGCCAAACAGTAAATGATACACTTGATTCTGACCATAACACAAATTGTTAACTCTTTGTGAAGTCACTTATATTAATAAGAGAAAGAGAACACTGCATGCAAGTACTTTACTTGATTGAATGCAAAACAACAGAAACACTAGGAAGACACATCCCGATATTTTTTTCCCTCTCACGAATTCATTATTCTCTGTAAGAGCTATCCCTGCTCATGCAATCTTACAAGTACAAATTTCAGGAATACGATTTGCTAGTTACTGTAGCCCAGATATCTGATGGCCAAAAATGACAAAAAGAAGAAGGAGCACGAACTTGTACTCTCGAGACAAAGATGATCCCAGTTATCAAATTATCCCAAAAGAGCACAAAAAACATCCACAGAAGAAAAAAAGTACAAGACTTATGTGGCACCACGTGTGGCTAATGACATTGACGTGTACAACGGACGCATTAGTGGAGCCAAATCGATTCCGTACGCTTTTAAACAAAGACGACTTGTTTGAGTAGGATTTTGTTTCATTCTTTTCAGGTAACGGAGAGAGAAAGAGTTTAGTCTCAAATCAAATTCACAGATTGGACGACTACGATTTTGCCACGAGATGAGTTCGCAAATTAGGGTTTTATTAAACAAGGATTTTCAAGCTAATCGTGAAGTTTGGTTGGTGTTTCAAGTTTTTAGATCTAAAGTTTCAAATGATCAGTATGGAAGAAAATCAAGCAAATAATTCATTATAGTCGAAGCAAAACGGGTGTAACCTAATGAAATTTACTATCCATATATTATGAATTATGAAAAATTTAACTATAATTTGAAATATTTTTCTTTATCGCATAACTATTATTCCTAGTTCATTTACTATATAAAAATATATAATACAATAAGATGTTTGTGATCAAATTGAGACTTTAAAAGTATATTTTAACTTTTTTACTTTCATTTACCAAATTTTGAACTTTTATTTATAGAAGAAAGGCTCCTCTCATTAAAGTAAAAGCATTAAATGTGCTGAGAATCTAATTTACTACTTGCAAATTTTTTTAAACTTTTATTTGGATAAAGAAAGGCTCCTCTCCTACAATTAAATGCATCAAATGTCCAAAAAGTATATTTAATATAATTTATTATATTAGTTAGATACAACTTGCTTTGCGTGCTTTTCATGGGTGTATCCTAAATACTGAATTTTAAAAAATCATTCAGTTAGTTAAAGTAACATATAGAGATGATGTTATATTTGTTTATGTGAAAAATAATACTGATCGCAACTAAAGTCAATAATACATCAGAAGAATTAAATTTGAAAACCAACTAGAGAGTATCCAAATTGAATAATCTTAATGTGTTCTTCCCATAATATATTTGTTGACACCCAAAAATAATCTGAGTCATAATGGATCGATGAGAGTCCATGGTGCATTGTCGACAGAACAGCTGTAGTCTACTTTTACAAATCGGCAACTGAGAAGGGTAGCTGTCATTGATGGAAGAAAATTGGTGAAGGCTAGAAATCGACATATGAGGAAGAGAGATTGGCCGATTACGAGATTGATGGAAATGCAGAAGGAGAGACGGAGTTGAATCATAATTGCTTAAAGATACGAACATGCGGTTATAAGTAAATGGAGTTGAGGCTTGAAATCTCAGGAGTAGTTAAGATTTAGAATTTGAATAATAACCGCTCTCGATAGTTACACCTTGTACAAGGCTATAAAAGGCCAAGGAAGACTAATTGTAAAGGATCTAAGATCAATGACACTTATAAAATCTTTTTGCAATTTACTTTATCAATTCTTTATTCGTATTCGCTATTCTTCGTTACCTGTAATTCTTTAGTTCATAGAATAGCTATACCGATTGTTTCCTATCCAAATCGTCATAGAACCCTGTTCATTTCTAAAAATCAAAGATCTAACCTTTAGTGAAAGATCTTTCATCGACGACCATTTTCGACAAAATATCTCTTTGGCACACTTGGTGGGATCATTGTGGTTCGATTTTAGGAAGTGAAAATGTCAAAAACAATGAATCAAGAACCCCGAAATGCCGCTGGTGAGAATAATCAATCCCCATGGCACATCAATGAGAGGTTACTCGATCGGAATCGTCATATGCTAATGTAGTGGGAGACGATAACCAAGGTGGGAATATATGAAAATTTATTTTGGAATCTATTTACGATCTATAAAAGCATTTTGCATTTTTAGAAATATGAGAAAAAAGTTATTGAAGAATTACAATTTCAGTTTCAATATCCAAAAAATAAAATATATGAGTACAAGACAAAATATCTGTGAATTTTACGTACATACCAACCATTATTCTAACTACAAAAATAGAAAATTATTGTATGACTTACACACACGAAAAAAAATTAACGTACGGTTTCCTTTGATTCAATTGACAAAAAAAATTCAAATTATCCCATAAACTAATAAACCTCATCTACCAATTCGATTTGGCTTGTGATTATCAATTCGCCTCTATGCATATACCGTCATAGGACATACTAATATCTCTAAAGAGTATGTCAATAATACTCATTTTAATTCAAATAACCATTCTAATTTTTCCTAGCTTTTAATTTTATTTTCTCCCCTCCCTCTCTGTTTGCTACCGAACGTTGAGGACAAGCAAAGGCGAAAGCAAAAAGGGGAGATAGTGGGCATCAAAAGGCGGACTAGATAAAAGCGGGAATGTTTGTTTTTTCTTTTCCGCCACCAAGAAATCGAAATTCAAACTGTGGCCATATAGCACGAGTCACTTGGTAGCATATTTGTTCCATTATTTTATTGGCTTGAAGAGGCTTTGAGACAATTGTCGCAAGGATTACAACCGTATTTGCAGTCTTTCCGATCCAAACACTCGCCAAAGTGTGCAAGTATGGTTTGGCGCCGACACTCATCCTGAAAATTTCCAAATTAGAGAGTCAACACATGTTTATCACTAGACTTTGCTCCATTCAGGTACATGGAAGATGAGTTTAGCCCAAAGGTTCCATTATGAATTACATATGTTGCCAACAGACCCATCTAATGATCTAGCACCCAAACTGGTTAATGCCAGACTAAAACTAACAACAATCAGTAGAACAAAGTGGAAAGTCATCAATTAAATTCTAACAGGGTTTGTATATATAGTTCGGTTCAAAGTAAAAGTTTGTAGTTATTTCTTGTCTGCCTCGATATTTTCCGTTCGGAATCGCCACAGAACCCGTTTCCTCTCGTTAAAAGCCGAAGAACGACTTTCGGTTAAAGATATTTCGTCATGGGAGCAATTTTGACGAAACACAATAATTAATGCTAAATATATCGATAATTTCTTCATAAAATTGATATATTAATTGATATAACAGGCTTTTAATGGTTTTGAGTATAGCTCACCTGCATCATTACTTATAAGTGAGGGCCATCAATTCTCGAGCCAATCCTTTTGCACGATACAACATGCAATTAAATAGGTTCCCATTTAGCATAGATGGGTTAATGTCATAAACGTCAAGACACAAGAAAAACTGTGTCTTATGTGGTTGAAGTCGCTTAAGCAGTTTAGACATGAATCGACACATTTAAACTCGTTTACGACACGATAAAAATCGTGGCATACGTGGATTGACCCGCTTATCCCCATTTAAACACTAAGCGTCATGTTTAAATTACGCGTTTTATGTGTTTCGCGAATACAAGTTAATGTTGTTATATTTACAATGTGATCCCACATTTAGGGATATAGTTTTTGAAATTAAAACTTATCCATTGGGTTTGACCCACGTTTTCTCTTTTAAGTGACGGTTATCCACATACGGTTTTTCCATGCTTCGTACCCCTTCGGTGACAACCGCCCTCTTCAGTAACCGCCTTGATGGAAGCGGTTTATAAAGATGAACGTTCATTCTATAAGAGCGGGACACAAGGTCTAACGCAAGCCCTCTCATTCGGCAATACACCATCGCATGCGAGGATTGGGTAAGTTAGAGAGTGCTCCTCAGTAATCGCTCTCAAATTAACGTCGAACTATCGTGGAATTCCGACGAACATAAAGTTGAACAATGGCTGGAGGTCAGTTTATCTTCGATCCTGTTTTCCGCATGTGATTCTAATTGTGCCTAAAATTTGTTCCTCTATGCATGATTAAAATCCTTCAGTTTTAATCTTTCATTTGGTATCAGAGCATGTTTAGTGCCTCTGCCTTGTTTTTGTTGAATTTTGGGTGCATTTTTCGGGGCTTTTGAGATGAATAGTAATTCGGCATTTTGGGGCTAAGAGGGAAATCGCCGATTCCGGCCAAATTCCGGCGACCCACCGCTCGACTTCGGACCGGCACGGTCGCACCGCCATGGAGAAGAATAGCCCTAAGTTAATCTGGCATATCGGTAATCGCCGGAGGCTGTTTGAGCGGCGGAAGTTGCGGGTTAGGATTTGTGCGTTTAGACGGAATTTTGCTTGATTCGAGTCAATTTCTTGGTTGTTTTCGCCGATTTTCGGATCCATGTGGTCACGCCGATGAGGTCTCCGAAACCCATAAATTATTTTGGTGTGACATGGGCTACCGGAGGAGACCCATTCGGTCCCAGGCGCGGCGGAACGGCGAAGATCGTCAAAAATTGGATCTGGTCGAGCGGAGGAAGAAGGCGCGTGGCCCCACGCGTGCACAATCGCTGGCGCGTGGTCGCCACGCGTGCGCAACCGGCAGACTCGTGCGTCCCACGCGCGTGTTGTAGGCGCGTGCGCCGCACGCGCCCGCGCGCGTGGCGCGCACGCGCCCGCTGTAAAGAAGGTGCGTGGCGCGCACGCGCACGCACGCATGGAGCGAGGGCATGCCGCG